TCTAAAAGACTTCAGTTGATCCAAAATGTTTCTCTGGTACTGGCTTCTCTTTATTGGCTCCCTGTTACATCACATACAAGCTCTTAAATACTCAGGCCCCGCCTTCTCTTAAAGACCTCATAGTAATTTAGCACCTCAGTAGAGCACTTAGAGCTCTCTTACTTGTGGTTCCTAGGTTATTTAAAAGTAGAATGGGAGGCTGAACCTTCTGCTTTCAGGCCCCTTTTCTGTGGGTTCGATTTCTGGCGCCAGACAGACATTGTCATTTTTTCTTTGATTTCATGTTTGGTACATCTTCATTTAAAGTACTGCAGTTATGCCATATTCCTATGAATTATGTAGTCAACATTTCATGCTAAATTTAAAACAGAAAATTGGAATAAGCAAAAGTGATGAAGTGTGTGTATTTATTTCAGGGTTTCTACGACGAAGTGGCCAGCCCTCTACTTTTAGAGGTGGACATGCACTATCCTGACAATGCAGTGGATTCTCTGACCACCAGCCACTTTAGCCACTTGTTTAATGGCACAGAGATTGTTGTGGCTGGTCATTTAATTGACAACAACCTTGACAACTTCCTGGTGGAAGTGGTTGGACAGGGGGTGAGGAAAAAAAAAGAAAAACACAAGAAATGGCAGAAACATTGAGATATTGAGTAGACATAGCCTATATTTATTTGTTTTACTCTGGTTTATATGGATTTGATCTTTTGTTTCTCCTGTAGCTTGAAGAAGACTTCAGAGTCCAGGGTCAAGTCAGTGCCACATACTGGGATGTTTTTTACCCAGACGAGGAGTACATCTTTGGAGATTTTACCGAGCGGTTGTGGGCCTACCTCACTATCCAGCAGTTGCTGGACAAGAGGTCAGTTTAAATCAGTTCAGTTCGGCTGCTAAGGCACATTGTTCTCATAATAAATATGGGATGATATATAGTCTTTGATGACACTTGTTCTTTTACCAGGACGCTCATTTTAATCATTGGATGTTCTTTTAAAGATTTCCCTGTAGTAATACATTTATTTTCCTTCTGGCAGCAAGAGCGGTACACCAGATGAGAAAGCCAACACAACAGCCAAGGCCCTGGATATGTCCCTGCAGTACAGCTTTGTCACCCCTCTCACATCCATGGTTGTTACCAAGCCCGAAACCGAAGACTCAACAAGCAGCCCTCTTATTGCTGACAAGCTGACTGAAGGTACCTGGAGAAAACAGTTTAAAAATGTAAAACACTGGACTGGCTTTTCTTAAAGAGACAAAAACTATATTGACCGATGAATCGGAGGGGTATGTGTGTTTATGTGTGTGGTTGTGTGTGTTTGTCAAGTGTGACTTTGAAATGGCTGCAGTCAAGCTTTACCACAAAAAGCAAAGCATGGCTGCAGCTCATTCATAAAGAGAACTGGTGACTGAGTTTACATTTTCCACATATTATTCCTCTTTAGTGAAGTATACCAGCAGAAGCTGGAGCTCCAGTTTAAAACTGTTATCTGTCTGTTTTTTCTCACAGAGCAAAGACAGCAGGCTGAAAAAATGAGTAAGTGCTTCTTCTTTTTTTTCGATAAATCACAAAAAAGATTTACGGGACAAAGTCAATTTGTTGTATTCATGTTGATTTGGATTTTATTCTCCCTGTTCAAAGCATATAATTATATACCTGCGCAGCCGCATCCACGGCATTACCAGCCAGCATCCACAAATGGTAAGTACATCATATACAGTTCAGATAGGATAGATTGTGCTCCAGCTATGATGTCTGACTTTGCTGATATTTACAGATCTGCATTAAGAGGCACAGTTAATTCGATAAAATGCCATGGCATCTTTCACAAACATAGGAGGACTTGGTGATTGCTTCACTTTAAATTTGGTGCCACTTTAAATTATTGCTAATTATTATTTCAAGTCCTGCTGCACTAACTGGTCCAAAGATGTGTGGAAATGCTCTTCATTTCTCTCAGATAATGAATATCTGTATGTTTTTTACGATAAATCACAAAAAAGATTTATGGGACAAAGTCAATTTGTTGTATTTGTGTTGATTTGGATTTTTGTTCTCCCTGTTCAAAGAATATGATTATGATGATTCTATACTCGTGCGGTCGTATTCATTGGATTACTATCTAGGATTGAATGATTTTGGTAAGTACATCATATACAGTTCTGATAGAAATTGAGTATAGATAACTCTATCTTCAAGATGGCTCTTTATTGCTTTATTGCCTTGTTTTTCATTATTTATTACTCTTTTTTTATTTTGTTTTTCTTCAGATTGCAAATGGATTTAATCATATTTTATCTGGTTTATAGGCCTCTTTTCTTTTATTTCCCTAAATAGATGCTAAAAATGACAACCTCAAAAATGCATGTAACCTATTATTAGAATCAATTGTCTTCCCGCAAAATGTAAAAGAACCCACCCATCACTGTAATCACACTCAAGATCTTGTTCTGACATATGGCATAGACATTGAACATAACAGTATTCCCTGAAAACCCTCTTTTGTCTGATCACTTTATAATAACATTTACATTTACAATAAAGGATTACACAGAAGTGGGGAATACATTTCATTGTAAAAGACTTTCTGCTGTAACCGTCTGTCTGTTGTAAATAACTTTAAGAGTATAATTCCTCCACCTTCTTCTACCTGAACTCTCCCATAATTCAAAACAAGCAAATTTTATTAATATAGCGCCAAATCAAAGTTATAATTTAGTTTGTTTTACAGGATTTTTCACAATATGAAAATACTTTTTAAAAATCGTATGATTCTTAAAAAGTGAAAACCCCAGTTTCTTAAAAATCATGGTTAAAATGTTTGCTGTTATCAAGCATCATGCTATTGACATTTACTTTCTTTTTTTCACGAGTCATATTTCCATATTTAATAGACAACTGTGAGTAAGTATTGTAAAAGTAAAAGTTTCATAAAGAATATTAATTTCACACCCACACACAAGTCAGGCACTGGATAGGCAAGTTGGAACTAGATAATTTTAACTCGCTTCCTTGTGTTCCTAATGTCCCTGGCACACACTATTTTAAGGAAGTCACACACACTAATTTACAGGACAATATTCTAGTAAACAGTTGTGGGAGCAGAGTAACCCTCCTCTTCTTCAACCATAGTGTGGGTGGCGTCTCATTGAAGGAACAAACTCCTCAAATGCTAAGAATTCCTTCCACATTTGTTTTCAGCTACGGGAAAGGCTGTTGCATTCCCAGACATGCCTGTGATGTGGAGAGTCCTGCTACTGTCTGCTTGTGTCTACATCAGTCTTCTAGCTCAGAGCTATGGAGCTCTGGTTATTTCCAGGAGAGATGCTCCAACACAGGTATCTTAAATAAGCTATGTACACTTTTTGGATGTAAAGAGACTCCTGTTTTATTGTTTTCTTTTTCAGTCCATACTTTTTTTCCCCATTATTCCTTAATAGAGTAAAATTGGGAAAAACTGTGGTGTCATATCTAAACATTTCTTTTGAAAGAAGTGACATAGTTATTTGAAGACATAACTCTAACCTGTAACTCAAATTGTGAGCGTTACAAACGTTGTTTATTGTCTTGTTTTCTTTCATGGTTTCACATTTTTGCAGAGACTTGTAGTCTGGAGTTAGGCTGCAAAACCAGTCAATGTCAACTTTCAATTTTGAAAATAAATACACTTGAGTATTGCACAATACTTCTTCAGTTTATACAGGACAGAGCATGAGTCACAACTCAGGGAGTGACTATTGCATTTACATCTGAGAATCTTTTAGAAGCGCGGTGTCTGGAAAACCTCTACAAGACGTAGAGAAGTCTGTTTTAGTTGAGATTAAATATTAAAAAAAAAAACAATTTTTCAGATTGGCATAATTGGTACATGGTTTAAAATAAAGCTCTGAGAATTCAATGCAGAGGTGTCATTGCATGTTGTAGGTGATACAAGCAGTTTTTATACTTCTCTTTTTACAGTCATCTTTTTAATTGTTTAGTAACATTACAGTCATTCTGTGCTGTGTTCCAGGAAACCAAAGAAACCGTGGGCATCAGGTCGATGAAGGTACTCATGTCACAGTGTCTAATTATGAAAGTAGACACATTTGCTGATACTTCATTCTGCGCATTGTTTATATGTCATTCATTTATGTTTTGACCCTGCTAAACACGTTCATGAAAATATTTATCAATTTTCTTTTTACAGAAAAGAAGTTCAAGCTCTGCAAATGTAAGAAACAGAGGCGGACAATTTTCAAAAATAGACCCTGGTCAACATGACTTATAGCTTCTAACTTACAGTAATGTTACCAGCTTTTTCCAAAATGAAGTCCATACTTCCAGTAAAGTTTATCGCTTCCAGCTGCACTTGTCCCACTTGTCTCGCGAAGCCACACCAAATTACTATCAGAGCTGGCCTACTGGTATTATACAGCTAATATATATATTGTTTAGTATTAAGCTTTGCTTGTTCCATATTCAGTTTTTCAGCAAAACGTGTTTGAGTCCATAAGAAAAGATTCATTCTTATATCTGGAGGAATAAATATATTTCAATAAATATTAACATTAGCCCACGACTTTGTTCCAGTTTTGAATTTTGGCCCACTGTGTATTTGAGTTTGACACCCCTGCTCTATGCTATGCAGTGCTGTGAAAAAGTACTTGCCTCTTCCTAATTTCTTTCTTGGCATATTTGTCACTCTTAAATGTTTCAGATCATCAAACCAATTTTATTATTAGACAAAGAATAAATACAACATCCAATTTTTAAATGAGGATTTAATTTATTAATGTAAAAAGTAACCAAACTTATTTGGCCTTATGTGAAAAAGTAAAATCATGAATTAACAACATTAGTTGGAAAGCTGTATTCAATTTCACTAGCCACACCCAAGTGTGATTACTACCAAACCTGTTGAATCAGGGAATCGCTAAAGGTATAACCGGTCTGACAAAGTGAAGCAGGCAGAAAGATTAAACAAAACCATGACATTATTATGCCATATTCTGAAGAAATGGCTGGGAAATAAAGTCAGTGAGATCTATCAGTTTGGAAAGGGTTACAAACTATTTCTAAAGCTTTGGGACTCCAGTGAACCATGGCGAGAGCCAATATCCAGAAATTGACCAAAATTACCCCAAAAGCCATCAACAACTCATCCAGAAGATCACAAAGTTCATTCTCTGGAGCTCAAGCACACCTGGGTTATGCAGCAGGACAATGATCTGAAACATACTAGCAAGTCCAAATGGCTCAAAAACCCCAAACCAACCAACCAACCAACCAAACAAACAAACAAACAAAGAAAAGCAATACAGGCCGATCATGCTTAAAAACCCTCCAGTGTGGCTGAATGAAAATAATTTAGAAAAGTGGGCCAAATTCCTCCACATGCGAGGTGATTTCAGACTCATTGCCACTTATTACAAATGC